CAGTGTTGTAAAGATCATGAACCTGCTCTAGTAGTCATGCCTTCAGCAGAAAAAGGTACCAACAGATACGAGTTCAAAAACCTCCAGGCCTTGTGGTTTGTACCACTTGTGATTTATTTTGATTTTGAATCATTTCTGAAACCTGTAGATTCTTGTCCTGATAATCCATCGCGATCATCTACCCGAGTTGTACAAAAACTGGAAGCTTGTGGGTATTCATTGGCTGTAATTGAACTCGGAAATTCACAGCCCTACTTCTTTGACTATGACAGCTCTGATCAATGCATGAAAAAGTTTCTCAATCAGTTGCATCAATTAGCGAGAGAGATATATGATCAAAAGCGACGGTTTCCTCAATTTCTAGAAAGCCAAGAATCGTTGAACAAAGAAAACACATCAACATGTTGGATTTGCTGTATACATTTTACCAATGAGCCCGAAAAATGTCTTGACCATTGCCAATTTTCTGGAAAATTTTTGGGATGGGCACATGAAAAATGCAACCTCGCAAGACGAACTGTAAATTTCACCCCAGTCATTGGACATAACATCCAGAACTATGACCTTCACCACATTTGTCTCGCATTGCATGAATGCGAGCCAACAAGTACAATGAGTGTTATACCTAGCACCGACGAAAAATATATATCGTTAAGCATTGGAGTCCTAATTAAAACTATAAAAAGGAAAAACGGATCTGAGCAAAAAGTTTTTGAATACCTCAGATTTATTGACTCATGCAAGTTTTTGAATTCTTCCCTGCAAAAATTGGTTGATAATCTACCAGCGGAAAAAATGTCAATTTTGAACAAGTATTTTGCAAACGAGACGGAGGAGCAACGGTGTCTGATACGACAAAAAGGTTTCTACCCTTATTCGTACATGACCAGAAGAGAAAAATTGGCAGAAAAAGAATTGCCTCCTTTGCAAAATTGGTCCGATGTTTTGAATGGAGGAAAAGTTGCAGTTTCACAAGCGGATCTGGAACATGCAAGGAAAGTTTTTAGAGTGTTCAAATGTCAAAACTTGGAGGATTATCACAACTTGTATCTCAAGTGTGATACACTCCTTCTTGCTTGCGTCTTTGAAGAATTTCGACAAATTAGTCACCAAACTTATGGTCTGGACTGCGCGCACCATTTTAGTGCTTCAAACTTAGCTGGAGACGCCTTCAAACGTATCTGCAAAGACTCGAATGTTCAGCTTTTATCAGACCGCAGGCATCTCGAAATGGTCGAGAATATGATGCGAGGTGGTACTGCATCCGTGTTCCATAGTCGCTTTTTCAAAGCCAACAACAAAGAATGCCCCGACTTCAACCCAGATCAACCTAGCACCTACGGGTTTATGATCGATGCAAATAACCTCTATGGCGGCGTCATGCAAACGGAGAAATTACCGGTGCGTACTTTGAGCTAATAGAGCATATAGAAGACGAGGTGATTGTGAACCAAATCCTCAACATGACTGAAGACTCTTTGATTGGATTTATATTGGAAGTTGATCTCGAGTATCCAGAAGAACTGCATGAGGATCATCAAGATTACCCTTTAGCTCCTACTAAAGAAAGTGTACCCCAGGATTGGTTGAGTCCCTACCAAACAAATTTACTCGAGCAGATGAAAAATCAAGACATTGCAAGACATTCAATTGGAAAGACCAAAAAGTTATTGCAGACGCTGCATGACAAGTCAAATTATACAATTCATTACAAACTATTGCAATTGTTTGTTAGGTTGGGACTTAAAGTTAAAAAAGTGCACCGTGTGCTGAAGTTTGAACAAGAAGCATGGTTAGAACCATACATCACATTGAACACGACTAAACGACAACAAGCTAGAAATAAATTTGAGGAGGATTTGTACAAACTACTGAACAATTGTGCTTATGGGAAAACATGCGAGTCGAAGCGCAAACGGATGCTTGTTCGGATAGTTAGAGATTATCATGCCGCTTTGCGAGAAATTAGTGCATTCGAATTTAAATCCTACAAAATTTTTGGAGAAAACTTGGCAGCGTTCACTTCGAATCCAACAAAAATCTATTGGGATGTCCCAACAATTGTGGGAGCTAGTGTTCTTGAGTTAGCAAAGTTTCACATGTATAAATTTCATTACGATATAATGAAACCAAATTTTGAATGTAAACTATTGTATTCTGATACAGACAGTCTCCTGTACCAAGTCAAAAGTGAAGATTTATACCGAGAAATTTCCGAAAAAAGGAATATTTTGAATGAACTTGACTTGTCAAATTACCCAAAGAACCACCCTCTCTACGACCCGAAAAACAAAATGGTTGTTTTAAAATTCAAGGATGAGTTTCCAGGAGAAGTTATAACCGAGTTTATATCCCTCAAACCCAAGCTTTATTCCATTTTGTCCAGAGGTAATTAATTTCTATTTGCCTTATTTGTGAGCACGAATTTCAAAAAATTTTGATTTTTTGTGATTTTTTTTTCGGAAGGCAATTTTTATTTGTGGGCGAAAAAATGTAATTTTATCCAAAAAAAAAGAAATTTGGAAAAAACTTTTTGGGCGAAAAAGTATAATTTTTTTTGAAAATTTTTGGTTTTTTTTTGTGGGCGATTTTTTTTTTGTGGGCGAAAATTTTTTTTAAAAAAAAAATTTTTGTCGGCAAAAAATTTTTTTTTAAAATTTTTTTTGTCGGGGATTTTTTTTTGTGTTGGTTGATTGTTTTTTTTTAATGATGACTAATTTTTAAGGTCACACCTGGTCTTCATGTATTTTTTTTTGTTGCACCTGGCCTTCAAGTTAACATGATGTAGTTCTTAAAAAAAACATCGTATTTGGTTTTTTTACCACCACACATTAGTGATCATCAAAAAATTGATTAGTAATCATATAAATAAAATTTTAGACTGCAGAAAATTATCGGCGAAAGGTGTATCCAAAGCTGCTCAGAAGATGTTGAGTCATCAGCGATATCGAGACACCTTGACCTCTGGCTCGTTATTCAAAACTGAAAACAGTCGAATCGCATCCGAGTCACACAATCTGCAAACAGTGACTTCGACGAAAACATCGTTATCAGCTTTTGATGACAAACGCTACATCCTCGATGATGGTCAGTAGACTCTTCCCTACGGTCACAAAAACATCGTGGGTCAAACTGTGATTGGCATTGATGATAGTGATGACAACACAGCCGCTGTTAATTCTGACCCAACTGACGATGACGATTTGGAGATCGTCAACAGCCAGTGTCGTGGGATTGTGACTATTTCCTAGATGGGGTGTCTGAAAAATTCGCTAACACTCAAAACGTTGATTGGGACCATCCGGAAATTGATGATGAATACTTTGAGGATAGTTTTGCTGTTGAGAACACACAACCACATCGCTCGCTTCGACAACTGATGGACCAGGTCAATAGCAGTTGGCAAACTCCAGACCCCGGTCTGATTCGGGCAGCAGAAACCAACGACAGTGATATTGATAGCGGGGATATCGCGGATCTGGAGGTCAATACTTCCGATGAGGACGAGTCGTCATTCTTCAACGATTCGTTTTTCGATTATGAAGCAGTTGAAATAGAAGAACCACGGTCAAAAAATCGACGAATAGATTAAAACACAAAAAAACACCACATTAACTTTTGAATAGTAAATAAAATTCAGTTATTTAATATGAGAATTGTCTGTACATAAAATTTGACCTATTCCGTGTTTAGTGTGTATTTAAGTGCGAGATTTTGTTCAGCTTTGGAACTCAATTAATCTGGGATATAAACAATTTCATTTAAGCGATAATGTCTTTAGCATACTTTTGTATGTATTTGTATGTAATTTGAGTTTGAATCAAAGTTTTAAGAAGAATTGAGCAAACAGTCTATAGCGCAGTTAAACACTCCAGCTGGTTTCAGAACGAAGATTTGGCAAATCCTTTCCCGCACCAAACATGTAACCACAACGTTCAGTGGGAATACTCAATAATATACCGAAGTTTTACATGAGGACTATTAGGTATAAAATTATACATGGTGACAATTAGGATTATTACATGGTGACCATTGCTGATCATTTAATACATGGTGACCATTATGATTTATACCTAATGGTCATCCATGTATGACAACCCCCCCCCCCCCCGATCCTAACGCACTATATGCATACTACTCATATACAAAACAGTCGCACACAAAACATTCCAATACAAAATAGTCCAAAACCTGATGTAATAAAGGGGAAAAAAACAGTCCGGTTTGAGGTCGCCGGTGGGCGCGCTGCGCGCTCGTCGCCGTTTAGCGGCGAAAACCGGCCATAAATTTTGTATTAAGCCCCACCCTCTGTTGGCAAACTCGCAAGACATTGACGCGGCTGCGGTGGTCACTTTTTTGTTGTTGATCCTAACGAAAGTAACGGAATATTTGTGCTCGGGTGGGTTTTTTCTTTAGACAAATTTGGACTTTTAGCTAGCCATTTTTGACAGAATTTTTTAAAAATCATTCAAAGGGATTGTTTTCTTGAGCTTAAATTCGGAAAGATATTTCCTCTGTGATTATTTTTTGTAAAGTTATGGGTGTTTAAAGATTGCCATTTTGGCCAGTTTGGATAAATTAAAAACGCGCGATATCTTTCGCTCTATTAACGCATGAGCGGAAATTTAATCCGTCTTAGAAATCGTTCCAAATTGGTAGAAGGAAGCTTTTTTGCCATAAATTTTTGCCTAAATGGGAAATTATGACGTAATTAAATCGAGCCTAAAATTACTTTTAGCGGTCTTTCTCCGCTACGCTATGAGGGCAGGCCAATTGAAAGTGATGAGACTTCATTATTAAGTTAAATTGCGAATTTGGCCATTTTGGGATAAATATCACATACTGTTTGCCAGTTTAATATTAAAGCGTAGCATTGCTGACAAACTGATCCGGCTCAGAAATATTTCAGCAGACTTCTTTTTAACTGAACAATATGTCTGTTCAAATCATTCCTTTTAAAAAAATAAAAACATCATTTGTTTATTCCAGTCAAACATAGATAGCTTGCTCAAATTGTTTTATCTGCAAACACTTATGGGAACAAACAATTGAAAAACAATTCAACTACGATCGTTGAAAAATATTCCTTCTATAGCAAAACTGTGAGCTTTTAGTTATTAAACATAACTTTTTTTACTCTCAATTAACTTTTTCAATTATTTTCAATTTTCAGCTGTCGCGGGCGCCAAAAGATTTCAAAAGATTGGAAATTTATTTTTTTTCTGGCCGAAAGATAATTCAGATTTTCTTACAAACAGATGAAACGTCAAAAAATCCGCACTGACACGACTAGTCTTGTTGAACTTATGTATGCAGATCACCCAAAAATATACCCCCTCATCCTATGCAAAATACAATAGAGGAAGATTTTTTCTTTTTGAGTCAAAACTCTGAACGGAAGTTTGCGGTTTAGTTACTTTTAAGCTGATGAGTTGATTTTTCTGTTGGAAACAATAGTTTTTATACTATAGGTGGCGTCACCGCAACCGGAAGCAACATATTATCTGTCACATCAAGCGACAAAAACAGTAAAAATGACTTCGTTGAACTTAAAACCGTTATCAAATACAATTTCCGAAAATCCAAAGGCTAATAAATAATTTTTACAATCGCAATGCGGTAAATTTCCGTTCCAAGGATGCAAAATGGTCTATGAATATTCCAATTTGGGCAGCGTGAAATATTTGCAGCTGCAAACTTGAAAAAAAGCGGAGACGACTAAGTGATAAGCTAGGTGATAACAATAATTATTGGCGTTAATGCCTCAATTTTGTCCTAACTGCGCCATTTTGTCCTGAATTGTTTATTTTCTGTATATAACCGGCAAACCGGGTAAACAATCAAATGTCCTAAACCCGTTTTGAGGTAGTCGAATTATGTATATAGACCCCATAGTTCGGCCGGTGTCTGCTTTCGACTTTGCGGGTTGAAAGTTGTCCCCTGCCGACACTGACCGACTTTGGTTATGACTTTTGGTCGACTTTGTTCGACATTGCTAGACCATGCTCAAATTTTGTCGACAGTTGTCACCCTGTTTAATTTATGAATCAAAAATTTCTTTCCTTACCAGCATAAGATATTTTATCTTCTGTTATTTCACAGCTTTTGAATTATTTAATCGTATCATTTGATACTGCAAGTTATTTCAAGAAAAAATTTCCCATTTTTATCGTTTTCCGAAGTGCTTCAATTGAGAGCAGAAAAATACTTCAATTGCGCTTGAAGGAGTATTATCACATGAGCGCATTCTCAATTGCGATTTTGTCCCAAACTTAGGCAGTTGAGACTTTTATTAAACGAAATTGGAGCGTCTTAAAAATAACAAAAACGTTTCCTTCGAGCCCTTCAGCTATTTTTAATTATAATGTAAACAATTTCAGGAGTTCCCATAAACATATTACGGTGAATTAAATTTTCGAGTGCTCTTTTCTGTTGTATGGCCCAAATTTACCAAAAATTGTTTATTGATTGTCTGTGATTGATGAAAACCCGCATTTTTTTCATGAAATTAATTTCAGCCGTTCAGGTTTGCGCATTATGTTCCAGTTTTCAAAATAACAAAAAAAAACATTTTAATTTGGATCAGAAGTTACTACATAAAAAGCTATAACAGAAACCAGCTGACAGTTCAACGTAAGTACTTTTATTTTTGCACACAGCATCAAGGAACATTGGTATCATAAGTGTTATTCCAAATTGGTTCTTTTTTATAGACAAACCACTCTAGTCGAGATCCCTTTCAAAAACCGCTCAAATGTTAGCAAGAAACACTCAAACCGCTGAAACATTGAGCGGCTTTTTTAGATTTTATCCCAAAAATTTATCTTGGTTTTTTTGTTGGTGGATCAACCAGCCCTAGCCCTAGTCCTGTAAAAGTTCGAACTTCTAACCTACCACATAACGGAAATATAGGACAAAAAATGATCTAAAATGTTCTAGGGTCCAAAAAACAGTTTTCAATGTTATTTTTGTCTCCGAAAAAAATAAAAGCCCCTCAAATTTTTTTAAAAAGCTCAAAAACGGCTGAAACTTTGAGTAATCGCATGAAAAACTGCGCAAACCGCTCAAATCTTGCTTGAATTTGGGCTGAAAACCTCGACTCGGGCAGGATCTTTTTGCGTATTGTAAAAGTTTTTTTGACAGAACGTGTATTTTATGAAAAGATTTGTTCATTTTTTTTTAGAAAAAATTAATAAGTAAACAAATTTGATTTGTGGACGCAATTAGATTTGTACTCAATGTAAGGCCCTTTTTCTCAACACCATAGTTTTCTGCTCTCAGTCGAAAGAATACGACAAGGAATGAAAATAAATAAGACTGTTCCTTTTGCTTCTGTTGCTGCGTCGAGTGTGCGCGAGATTAAACAATAAACTTTAGAATCAACAACTAAAATAAACATGAATATCATTTAATTTTAGATAAATAGCTTTTTGTAGAGCTTTTAAGATACATGATTGCTATTTGGCCTAGGAAATTAGACGAAAAGAAATTAAACGACCGTAAAAAACGGGATTTACGAACAACCAGTATTTACTCAGCCAGCACTTAATTTAAGTCTGTAAACAAATTTCACGCAAGTCTAAATTCCATTATTTTCTGATCGTCTAATTTCCTAAACCCCGATTGCTATAGCAATATTTTTCCAAAAGTGGATCATTGGCCTGGGTATTGATGGTCGACCACATCGACTAAATCAGTCGGCTGAATATCCGTCCATGGCCCAAGTTATAAATATCGATCAAGCAGCAAAACCAAAATATAAAGCCGAAACACGAAATCGAGATGTTCGAAACATGAAATGGAATTCGTTTTAAGGGTCTTATGCAATAAATGGCCTAAAATTGGTATTTCTACATAGAACTAAAATTTTATGTGGTTGATTTTGATTGGCTAATTCAACAAAGCGTATATGGTACTTCAATTGAAACTTCAAGTAGATAAAATTGCTAGCCAAAATTACCAAAACCTGAGAACCTGTTCTTTTGAAACCATTTCACAAAATTTTTCTTGTCTGGGCAAAGTTTTATAATTGACGTGAAATTAATTTTATTATCCCGCATTGGAATTCCATGAATGAAAATCGATTATAATTGTGTTTCCTTGTCAGTGTCCACAAAAGTGAAAACAAATCGATTATAATCAATTAAAAATGGATTATCACATTACTATTTTTCGAGGCAATAAAATCCTTCTTTCATCCATTATAATCAATTTTTTCACTTTACTGAGATAACGAATTTCAACGCACATAAAGTTTTTTCTACGTATTAAACTAAAGTCGGTTAAGTTGGTTACTTGTTGCTCAATTTAATTTTTTTCTGCCCAACTTTGATATTTTTGTTACTTTTTATGTTAATCCAAAACTGAATTTTGTTCCTTTCAACAAATTTGTTAAATTATTAGAAATATTGGGGGGGGGGGTAAAGTTGGAGGTAGAATAATCCGCCTTCCACTCTTTTCCGCATAACTCCAAAGTTTCCGCATAACTCACTTGATAAATGCAGAAATTCTTGCAAAATTTTGCACGACGTGCGAAACAAAAATAAAGTGGAAAAAAAACATTTTAATGTGGTTTCCTACTTATAATAAACTCCATTATAATGGATTCCAAATGTATTATAATGCTTTTTGTTTTGACGAAAAAAAATGGATTTAAATCCATTTTAGTCCAATTTTGTTTTCTGAACGTAACATGGGAATCGATTATTTTTACAACTGTATAGACCACGAAAATCCATTATAATCGATTTGTTTTTACTTTTCTTAAATGCGAGATATGACTAAGTTTTACATTTTTTTTAATTTCGATTAATTTTTTTTCTGCTGGAAACGTTGGCTGAAACGCCTGAACGTGTTCTTTGAGTTTGATTGGGCCAATCAGATTCGACCGCATAATTTTCAGCTTAAGGTCTAGAAACATTGATTTTGGGCCCTTTAGTTCACAAGGCCCCGATTTAGCAACGCAGTTTAAAACAGGGTCTAACGCTACAGAATACAAAACTGTATTGAAACTTGCAATGAAAATAAAAATTTATGATTTTTGAGAAACTCTAAAAATCCGATGAATTTTTAAAGTTATCAGACCAAATTTATTCATCTCATTCACTAATTCTCATTATTCATCTCATTCATCTCATCATCAAATCATCAAAAAAATGCTCATTTTTTGGAGTTGCATAGATTACAACAACCTCTGAAAAAATATATCAAAATATCAGCATCGCCATTCTGGCCCGAGTCTGTCGAATTGAAGCAGGTTTGTGTCAAGCTCTTTCGAAGAGTGTTTCTGAGATGAAATTAAGTTTTAACATGGTAGCTGCAGCTTAATCTGATGTATTCGAACATTCCATTATCAATATGATAGTCCAAGATCTATAATATTTTTGCACTTTTTAAGAGTATGTAACCAAGAACACCTGAAGCGCACCTCAACCCGTGAATTGATTTGCTAAAAACTGAATTTTTTTGTTGTGAGAAAAATAATCCGACGGCTCTCATCAAGAGTAGTTTCTAATGATTATGCACCGTCTCATTGTCATGCGAGCTATTCTCGATCGGATGAGTTGGTGCAATTCCCCAATCTTATTGCAAGAATCTAAGGCCCAATATGAATTTCCATAGTCTTAATCAGATCTGTGGAAACACTCATAAGAACGAGGCTAGGCATAGACCAACTTTATTTCTATCTGCATGTAAAGCGATTTGAGCAGAGAAACTATGATCACTGTTCAATATTTATTTAAGATTAGGCGATGAATCATGATTAGTTAGTATTAAATATTTCAGAATCTAAAATTCTTTCACGAGTCATATGAAAAGTGTGAAAATAAATCTAATTGAGTTGCGGGGTCGCGACTAGCTTTTCTTAGAATTTGCGGGTTGCTGTTAATTCTTTTTCAGTCGCGCCGGTAGCGGGCAATTTTTTCCTGAATTGTGTCTGTCGCGGACACATGACCTCAGTCAGCAAAGTTTGGAAGTAGCAAATTCGATTGCGGTGGTGTCAGAAACATTACATTTTTGATTGCGACAGCCTAAAAATACAAAAAATGAATCACAATAATCTGATTATAAAAGCACAAACTCGGCCGGGCTAAAAAAATATATTTGAGGAGCAAATCTAGAAATTTTGAATAAACTATTAAAATCAAAATATAGAGAAACTTTACGATGCATTTGAGTTTAAAGAGTTGAACTGGGTGGTTAGTTCCGACAGCATATTGGAAGAAACCACTAGTGATTACAAACTGTTCCTCGGAAAGTTCAAACTTAAACAGCCGACATTGTTCGACCCTACAACTTGCTAGAGATCGACAGTCATAACTGGACCACTTCAATACGGAAATTAGTTCAGCAGTTTTGGTTAAACGACCAGTCTTTAAACCTCCACGATTTTTAAAAAACGGTTTCAAATTACATGTTTTTTTAAACTCGGTTTTAGAATTTCGGACGTAAAAAACTTCAAATTATTAGAAAAAGATTAATTTTTCCAACCTTATTTTCTCTCATTTCGGTCGCTTATTTAAATCATTTTTTTTTAATTTTTATTTTTATGTCTAAATACATTTTAACCTTATTTTTTCAAACTTTTGTTGTTGATTGTCTTTTCATCGCAAGATTGCCATGAGTTCGCCAAAAAATGACAAACATTGGAAACTTTTTTTACACTTTGCGTTTTTCTTAGAACTTTGCAGTGTTACTGGGATGAATACATCACGTTGTGAGAAACTTGCAGAGCAGCCGGCTATATTTGTTTGTTCTTATAAATTGTTCTGGTCATTTTATATGTAATTGAAGCGAATTTTCACAAGGCAAATCTTCTAAGTTTTGTCCCAAGAGAATATTTTTTATATTAGCATTACAAAAGATGTGTGTTTATTTACCATAGCTGTTTCTGGTTTGTTTTTGAAGTTTTAATGCTTTTTCTTATTCCCTCGTCGCAAATTTTACCGCCATCGGTCAACCAAGAGTAATTGCAGATAAGATATCAAAGCTTTGTGAAATGTATTAGTGCTAGGCTTGCTCTTTTTGATCTGACATTTGTATCCGGACAAGTAGCTAGTGTTTTTTACTAGCCTTGAAGATATCTGCTGTTTTTTTTTAATTTTTCAGAAAGTTGTCAAAATTGATAACTTTTAGAATTTTTTTTTCATTTCCGTTGTTAATCCCTCTTCTTGTACGCACAGTTAACTAGAAAAAAGATAAATTTATTTTAAAGTAGCAATTATTTCACAACATTAAGTTGCCTCAGTTCAAACTGGATTAATCTATTTGTCGAGCACGTTACGGATTATCAGAAAACTGGTAAATAGAGCGCCTCAATTAGCTGTTGTTTTCCAGTATATCATCCCTTTGTATAATTACTTCAGAAAAAATTCAGTTTTTGTTCTTATGGTAGTTTGCATGCAAGAACTGTTGAAAAACCTGTTCGCAAGACCACGCTTAGATGTTTTAATCCAGTTTAACAATTAAAAATCATTAAAAATAGATTTTAGTAAAATGAACTTAAGAAAAATCAAAGGGAACAAGAGAAGAGCCAAATTGGCAATTATTAAATGTCATAGCCTCTCGAATTGTCAAACCCATTTTTTTACTTGTTGAGTTAACAAAATCACTATTTCTGTCAAAAACGGTTAAATTAAAAGTCAAAATTTCAGTTGCATGGAGTAAAAACAAGAGTGCTCGTATTATACTAGCAGGATATGATCCTAATACGCGGGACTAGCGCTGCTAGTTAATAAGATGTCCGTTCTACTTTTAAAAAAAGTTTTCATTTATCTAGATTTACTTAACAAACAAAGTATTTAATTTTTTATCAGATATATAGGCCTGAGTAAAGTTAAGTTATTCTTTTAAGATTAGAAAGGATGAACCCGAAACTGTTGTCCGATGGCTATCAAAAGGTTGAGATTTGTTGCTATCTATCTTTGATAAAACAAAGCGGTGATGGGTGGATTGTTCTTGGCAGATTTCAGTTTTGCTTTTATAATCAATTTTTGAGTAGAAGGCATTTTTCTGAAAGCCAATAGCAATCTCTTTTGCTTAGTACTGCGTTTTTTATAAACAGCGTCCAATAAAAGAGAGAATTACTAAGTATTCAATTTTGAGCGTCTATTTCTATTTTCATCTACAATATAAAGTTGTGCAAAAAATGCAAGGCAATTAAAGCAACTAAATAGGAAAGGCAATGGAAGGGATTGAACTGAAGTGCAATTATGCGGTGGCGCATATGCTTGTTGTTCCGACTTTCGATGCGAAAGTAGGGAATATTTGTGCTCGGGTTGGGTTTTTTTTTCTTCAGACAAATTTCGACTTTTTAACTAGCCATTTTTGACGGAAAATTTTTATATCATTTGAAAGCTATTGTTGTCGTGAGCTTAAATTTGAAAAGATATTTCACCTGTGATCATTTTTCATAAAGTTATGAGGGTTTAAAGTTTGCCATTTTGGCCATTTTGACCAATTTGGGACAATTAACGCGCGATATAATTCGCGCTATTAACGCGTAAGCGGAGATTTAATCCGTCTTAGAAATCGTTCCGAATTGGTTGAAAGAAGCTTATTTGCCATAATTGATTTGTTACAATGAGCGAAATCTATTGTTTTGAACTTTATATGGCGTGTGGGGGGATGATTTTCATAAAAAATTTCACATTTTAGAAAAAAAAAAATTTTTCTTGTTGTTTCATTTCCATGAATTTTTTAGGGTTATTTCTGCTCCATAAACCTTAAAAGGCAGTCGGAACATTCAGGGCTTCGCCCTGATACGAGCAGTTTTGTTCAGTTTAGTTCTTGTACTATCAGAGGATTAAAGTGAAAGTAAAGAGGATTATTTCGTTCCTAGTTTATTTCCAAAGTTTCTAGTTTAATTTGAACATAGAACACTCGTATCCGGGCAAAACCATGAAAGTTCCGACTGTCCATAAAAGGGTCTCGATTAATTTTTACTTAATATATGTTGACAAACTATGAATTTTGCGCTGAATATTAAGAATCGTTTCTTGGATTAATTAGACTAATTAGCCTGCCTCAATTGAGTTTGGAGTTTTGTTGTGCGAGATTATTTGCCACGTGTAAAAAATGAGCGTTAAACTTTCAGCAACAAAGTACCACAGGGTTTTCTTTCATATTCACGTTAGTCTATTAGCGAGCGTTTCACTGCATTCTTTAATTGAAAGTTATCTAGTGGTGAGCGCGAAATATCTGGTACCACGATGGTCCATTGATCGGTTCCCTTCTTCTCCATGACATGACATCTATCAGTGACAGCTTCAGTCACTTCTCACAAAATATTTTATGGAGAGATCAAAACCTGGCTCATTGATATGCAAAAAATTAGATTTTTATTTAATTTTTAATTTTTTGAATTAGTATAAAAAATAGAAACAACTCTTTTATGTTGACAACAAAGATTTTATGAGCTCCCCCCCGAGACACAAAGCACATAAAAGCTCCTTTAATCAAATTTTTTTTGTGCCGCATGCAAATAAAATCGATTGTCATCTTAAAATGAATGTGGTAAACGAGTACCAAAAAGGAAATCCGGCCAATGATCATTACAGTATCAGACATCATTAGTAGAGCATTTTGTGTTGAGAAAGACTGATTAGTGAGAAAAGGCATCCCCAAATGCTTTTTCTAGGTGAGAATTAGGGTCTGATTGAACAGTTTTCGAATCAATTTAACTATTGACCTCTCATATTTTTTCTATTCCTTATAACCGCCAAAGATTCAAAACTTTAGCTAACCACAATATTTCATTTATCGTACATTAATTATAGTTGGGTCACCAAATGAGTCACTTTCGCAATCGATTACTCACTTTACTCGTCGTGTGCTGTCGCGTGTCGGATGACCTATCACTCGTGTCCTGTGTGCCCTCTACTGACCCCGACTACGATAAAAGAGTGAGGCCGAACGAGGGAGTGAGTCACGAAAAGGTAGAAATAGGACTCTTCCTCAACTCCATCAGAACTGTGTCGGAGGCAGACATGACAGTTGTCCTCGACTTGTTCGTGCAGGTTTGCAGAAACCAAAATTTTAGCTCACTTACAGCCCCCCCCCCCCCCCACACACACACACACACACACACACACACACACACACTTTTCAAAGTTTCTTCTTCTTATAGTTGCTTTGCGTGTTGTTATGGCTGAACGCATAATAATATGATGTAATCTATAAAAAAGAAAGCGGCTCACAATTTTTAGTTTGATCATACCAGCGAGTTTGATTGCCTGGTAAAAATGTAAAAGTAGTTTTTGAAAAAGAAATTGAAAAGCAGAGGAAATTGAAAGAAAGCCGAATTCTTTAACCTAAACATTTATATTTTCTGACGTATGACTTATCAAGTACCTTTGGACGAACTCTTCATAATTAAGTTCTATGTCTACTCCACCCCACCCACATTTCAAAATATAATTTTTTTCTTTAGATGAACGCGTGAAGTTACGATGAAAAGTAGGGAGACCAAATCTGTTCACAATAATTACATTTTATTGAACTATGAATAAATTATGGAAAGTAGCGAAAAATTTGTGCTCATGGTTTTTTTTTAGTCAGACAAATTTCAACTTTTAACTAGCCATTTTTGACAGAATTTTTAAATATAATTGGAAAGGTATTGTTGTCCTGAGCTTAAATATGAAAAGATATTTTACCTGTGATCCTTTATCGTAAAGTTATTAAGGTTTAAACATTGCCATTTAGGCCAATTAGGGACAATTAACGCGCGATATATTTCGCGCTATTAACGCTTTAGCGGAGATTTAATCCGTCTTAGAAATCGTTTCAAATTGGTTGAAGTGAAGGAAGCTTACTTGCCATAATTGATTTGTTACTAGGAACGTAATTTATCGATTTGACTTTTATATGGCGTGTGGGGAGATGATTTTCAAAAAATCTCAAATTTAAAAAAACAATAGTCATTTAGCTATTACATTCAATCTTTTCATGTTATTAATGCTCCATAGACCTCAAAAGGCAGTCGGAGCATTCAGGGCTTCGCCCTGATACGAGCAGTTTTGTTAACATTAAGATTACACTATATTAGTTGAATGCGTAAGAGGCTCTCTTTTCACCTCCACTTCCGTATTTTTATAAGTAATTTTCTGTTTTTCTTATCAGATTTTTACAAAAATTGGCGAAAATATAAAACAAGGACAAACAGGTAAAACGCTCCAGTTTTTGTGTTCAGATTTTTATGATAGTTCTTAGCTATCAAACACACATGCACCCACACACAACAAGAACAGCAACAACAACAACAACAACAACAACAACAAGAACAACAACACTCAAACAACAACAACACCAACAGCAACAACAGCAACAATAACAACAACAATAACAACAGCAACAACAGCAACAACAACAACAACAACAACAACAACAACAACAACAACAACAACAACAACAACAAAAACAACACTCACGCTTATACACACACCACTCTTAAATTTAGAATGAACTTGCACAAACAAAAACTAGCACTGAAAAAGAGATTAAAATGATTATCAGCCATGGGGATAGGAACTTGACAATGAGTGGAAATTAAAATACAAAAAACTGAGAACTTTTTTAAATTATATACAAAAAAACTGGGACGTAAAAATTGGTTTAGGTGAGAATGAGAGGTGGGAAAAATTGAAAAGGGCAGAGCTCTTAAATCTTTTTCAAAAATGTTTTGACTTAAGATTTATCAAACTTTTTGGAATTCTTAATGTTTAAGTTCTCTGCTTCTACCCCTGCCCCTACCCGCATTTCATGTTTCTATTTTTTCAGATTTTTCTACTTGTTTTTTTGAAGATGAATGCGTGATGTTACAATGAAATGTATGAAGAGCAAATCTGTTCACAATTGGTGTGTTCGCCAGAAATTTTGATTCATGATAAATTATGCTTGAATGACCAAACTATTATTAAACTTAAATAATTGAATGCTTTAGGGCGCTTTTTCTTTGTCCTTTTTCCCTCTTTCCACGAGCTTTTTTTAATGAGTAATTGTTTTTTTTTTCACATTGTCAGATAGTTACAAGAATCTTGGACAATTAACGCGCCATATAGTTTGTGCTAGTAACGCGTAAGCGAAGTTTTAATCTGACTTAGAAAAGTTCCAAACTAACTTGAGGTATGCTAATTAGTCTACTCAACACTTTGCTAGATGTTGGATATCAATTTCACGTTTTATAGCGTGTGGAGAAGGGTTTTTTAATCGAACACTATTCCATAGACCTTAACGGTAGACGAAACCTTCAAAGCGTCACCCTGATACGAGCAGTCTTAATATCTCTGTAGCCTCAGTTTCACATTTTTTTAAAAAATAAATGTAGTCTGAACTTCACACTTATAGTTTAAATGCCATACCGATCAAAGTCTTCATTGCTGGCGATAAATACTTAACTTCTAATTAAGTTTTCTGCTGGACCCAATTTTATTATAAAGTAACGAAATGAAGCATCTTGAAATTCTTTTTTCTTCCAAACTATTTTTGGAGCAGATATTGGCTAAACCTAGACTATTTCTCATCATGTCGTTTACAAGACTCTGATGTCACTTTAGCAGGACAAAATCGTTAACCAGTAGGCCACAAGACCGATGCAAACCACAAAATTGTAGCAACCTCATGTAATAACCAGTGCTAACTTTCTCAAATATTGCTACGACATTGCTTCGAAAATAATTAGTTTCTTTTCAAAACACAAATTACAAAAAAAACTAGGTATATATGCTTCAAAAGTTTTCTATCCAGTTAAGAAGCCATTGTTGGGCAAGGGTTAGACTCGATTTTCAACTGTTTAATTTTTAGACGCAATCATCTATCGGTCTCCTTTATAATCAGTTAAAATTAACAATAATTTTTTTACTGCCCCTGATAGTAGTATAGATATACGACACTGGGATCGGGGGCGGGGGGGGGGGGTGATCCCTACAGGGATCATTGGGTATAGATTATACCTAATGATCCCTATGTAAATATTTATACCTAATGATCCCTATGTAAAATATTTATACCTAATGATCCCTATGTAAAATATTTATACCTAATGATCCCTATGTAAAATATTTATACCTAATGATCCCTATGTAAAATATTTATTCCTAATGATCCCTATGTAAAATATTTATACCTAATGATCCCTATGTAAAGTATTTATACCTAATGATCCCTATGTATAATTTTTATACCTAATGATCCCTATGTATAATTTTTATACTTAATGATCCTTATGTGTAAGTTGTGTTGGTTAAAACAAAATCGTACTGGCGATATATTATTTCTTTCCGCCACCTATAGCTCGGCAAGCTATGTTGTATTCCAATTGAACTAAAACTTTTCATTGTGTTTTGCTGTTGAAGGTCTTTGCGAATTGGTTCTTTCAATGTTTCTACAAACGCTTTGGTCTTGGTGAAAAGAGATATGAACTGAAATGGTTGAATTATACACACAATCTTCTGAAGTAAGTGTCGGTTAAACGCACCAAAAGCAGTTTGGGGTCAATTCCAATATGAAAACTCTCAAAACCACTCCAGATAAAATAGTAACACAAAACCAAAAGTGGATTTAAAGTAGCCCGCCATTACCTAACAGTGAACAAACGTGGAAAGTAAGTATAATACAGTACACTAATTTACAACATTAAATTTTGTATTCAACTTGAATCAAACACACAACATTAGAGTTTTTTGTTTGTTTTACGTCTTTTTGATTGCGGTGCTGAATCTTCAACTGCTTCGCGGTCGAGGTACCATTCATCATCCGACGACGAAGAAGAAGTAACTGCATTTGGATCAACCAAATCATCGCTTTCGATATCACTCTCAACAATTTCTGTGACACGAACTCTACCTGGATCTGGAGCTTCATAGCTGGTGATACTATTCAACAGGTCTCTCAACGAACGGCTCGGTTGAGTATCTAACACAAGAAAGCTATCTTCTGACACATAATTCGTATCCTGCGTAAAGATTTCTTCTTGGTTCGAGCTCTCGTGATCCCAGTCGACTATCTCATCTTCTTCCTCGAAAAATTTCAGCCAATCGTCTAAATCTTGATCTTTGTGGTGACTGGTGCTATTAGTTTCACTCACGTTCCTTTCGCTATCATCATCATCATCATCCTGATTGCTATCGGGAAAGATAGAAGCATTTACTGTTCTATAGTGACCGTATGGCAATGTAGAGATACCATCGCTGAGGATGTATCGCTTATCATCATAGGCTGATAATGCGATTTTGTTTGCTCGAACAGTGTTCAGAATATGCCTCTCGGAGATGATGCGAGTATTTTCGGCTCGTACAAGGTTTCCAGACGCGAGAGTTTTGATGTATTTTTCATGAGTTAGCAACCGTTGAGTCACCTTAGTGATTCCTTTTGCTGAGTGCTTCCGTGTATCTATTAAAAAAATGATGCTCACTAATCATTATATATCTAAATGTTTTGTAAACTAATACTTGAAATTGAAGAAAAAAAAAGTATGAACGCATCCTTTTCAGAAGATCCACACCCCCCCTCTCATTTAAAAAAAGGTGATAACCATTTAACCTATACCTCCCCCCTTACCCCCACCCACAGAAGCACCAAAAAACCTAAGTCATCTCAAAAATTTCACTCAGTAAAAAATTTTTTCACAAAAAATTTTTTTCATAAAATTTTTTTTTCCAAAATTTTTTTTTCCAAAATTTTTTTTTTCAAAAATTTTTTTCAAAAATTTTTTTTCAAAAAAATTTTTTTTCAATTTTTTTTCCAAATTTTTTTTTTGATGACAAAATTTTTTTTTCATTAAATTTTTTTTTTTCCAAATTTTTTTTCAAAAATTTTTTTTTTTCCAAATTTTTTTTTGATGACAAAAAAATTTTTTTACAAAACTTTTTTTATCACATTTTTTTTACCAAATTTTTTTTGACAAAATTTTTTTTTTTATTTTTTTTTCCAACAAAAATTTTTGACATTTTTTTTTTCAAAATTTTTCAAAAAATTTTTTCGAAATTTTTTAATTTTTGAAAATAAAAAGCGCTGTTTG